TGTTTTAGCCATCAAATATTCCTTTGTTTTTTATATAGCTAAATCTTAAAAGGGTGGTTTGAGATCTACTCTTAAATCACATTTACCATGGAATACTTTCTATCCACCTCATTCGTTTTTAGCTGATTTAGATATTTTTAACATTATATGATTTATTTTCTATACACAAACGTCCATTTTTAAAAAGATGGGGTGGTAGTATTGCGGGAAATGCAATTCGATACACAATTCTTGTCTGAAACTTTAAGATCCACTGCTGTTGTGTTCAGGTGTTTATGAAAGTAATACAGTCCGATGCTTCCTTGCTCCTCAATAAGGTTTCTAAACTCAGGGAATGCTGATCCCACGCCGGCTGGTTTGTTGTTGTTTTTTTTTAAGGAACTCTGTGCGCTGTTTGGGATCGCCCAGAAAACCCACGCAAGTACGGCTGTATCCACACCCTTTGCAAGGAATCTGGGTGGTCGTCGAGACTCCCCTTGCTTGAAAACCCGTCCTGTCCTTCGCGAGAGGGTGGAAAGGCTACAGCGAAGCGGCAGCAGCGTCTGAGCTTCAGGCGACGGCCTTCGTAATCCAAAAGCGCGACTCCGCGCGCTCCAGCAGCTCGCTTGTGCATTGTCTGAGTCTCCCGCTAAATAGACGCTAGCAATTCATATTTCTCAACCAGAGTTCACGTCTTTCTAGACCTAATAGCCCATGAAGAAAAGTATGAAAAATACATCTCACAAAGCCATTAAAAGTACCCGCACAATGACAGACGGTGCAGAAGTTTAAATGGCCGTTTAATGCAAACTCTCGATAGCATCCTTATATCGAGCCTTTAAAATAATGATGGTGAAGAAGAAGGAAAAGACGACGACGTTGATGATGATGTTGTTGAAGCTGATGATTTTAGCCAGGTACTGATTCCTTTCATCATGGCAAAGTTAATTAAGCATTCATATGAGGAACAACTGTATCTTATTTTATACAATAGAATATGTAAATGTGTGTGTGTGCGTAAACACAGATGCGTGCACATATACACACATGCCTGTTTGCATACATATAAAAACCTGCTCAAATCTATTTTCGAATCAAATTCTAGAAAAACACAAAACCACTATAGAACATATACTGTACCACACACCCCTCCCCGGGGTCTCTGGAGATGAATGGCTAACTGCTAATTTTGAGAAGGCTGTTTATCTAGTTGATAAACTTTATTAAAACAAAGAAACAAACCACACACACCTGAAATAGAATGTAGTGGGAACTATGTTCTAATCAGCTGGCTAAAATACTTATAGAATACTGTACTCATAAAATTGAGATAAATGCACTGTTTCCGGACCCACACAACACTAAAGAAAAAGGCTGAGAAATGCACAGCAGCACCCCCCCAAAAAAGGTTGCACTCCTCTCTTAAATTTTATATAAACATTTTAATTGAATCAATGCTTTAAAAAAAAATCTAGATAAGTGATCAGAGTGGGGGTGGGGAGTAGACCACTATACACACTGGCTCCTATTTTTTACCATAATTGTTCCCCTTTCTTTTAAAAAAAAAATCATCTCCAGTACAAAACTACTGCATTTAAATCAAAGGTATATGCTCAAGGCTAAATTCTGTTAGTAGATTACATTTCTTTAGAGCCCTCCAAGATATCTTTTGGCTGCTGTTCTGGATTTGTGTTTTTGCCTCTATGGTTCTCTCGAACGAACTTTGTTCAGTTACTGTAGACCCTACAAGGTGGCGCTCTTCACATTGAAAGACTAAATGAGTTTATGGCCAGAATAGCATTTTCTAGAAAGCAAACTTAAAAACAAACAGACAGACAGACAAGAGAACCAGCTGTGCCAGCTTGCTACCCGATCTTTGCCATTGAAAAATGGCATGGGTGTGTTGGTGTGCATGGGTGTATACATACACATTTCCCCACTCTGCACTTTTATTTCTTCTGTGCAGGCCTATGTTGACTGAATGAAGAATGCAACCCCATTTCTGCTCAGAAGCAAACCTCACTGCATTCAGAAGAACTCCTTCCAGGATATTGTATATAGGATTGCAGCTTTAAACATTCAAGCAAGAGTAAACACAGCATCACCTTCCCCTAATAACATTTATTTTCAAACAAGCACAATGATAGCCCATTACAGTACTATATGGCGAATAGTTAACCGATAAATGCTTTAAACCCATTGGAAACAATGAATGAATCCATACCAAGAGGTTTGCCCATCCCCAAATCTTTCTCACTCTGGATATTAGGACTGATTGACTGAACTTCGAAACACCTATCTATCTATTATATATATATATATATAT